TAAACATGTGTTCTCAAAATTATCCAATAAGATTAAATGATAATTTTGACTAATAATTAATATGAAATTCCATTATACAACAATATATATTAACTAGAACTTATATGTGCATTATATTTTGTAATATGATGTCATAATCAGACTTCTAGTAAGTATTATCATTATGTGAATATTTAATCAATATCTTAACTTAGTTTTTTCTTATAATATATTTGATTTCAGTGACTTCAGTTATTTCAAAATCATTACATTATGTATCTCTTTTATTTTTGAGATAAACTATCACTATTATCAATAGATTATGAGATCTACTTAGTATAAAATAGTCTTAAAACAATATAGTATTAATATTTTTTAGCAATTTTGATTGATGTTTAATAGTGTATAATTAATGCAAATATTATAGTATGAGTTTATTATTAAAATTAATTAATATATAATATTTTATTAACAATAAACAAGAAATAGTTTATTAACTAGCTAGATTTTGTAGTGATCAATTTTTACAACATGTTATATCTCATTATAACATGTTGCAAAATATTACAACATATTGCAGAATATTATCATATATTACTGAATATTACTGAATATTACAACATATGACAAAATGTTATGTGAATTTTATCATGTGAAAATAATAAAAGAATAATGATAATAGTGAAAATAATAATAATAATAAATGATAATAATAATAATAGATGATAATAATATTAATAATAATATGGTGCATAACATCTAAAGTCATCAAATATTTATATATTATAAAATATATAAACATTTTTACTAAAAAGTAAATGCAAAATTTAATCTGTGAATATTCTTAGAAAGAGCCTATTTTATCATATTCACAGATTAAATTTTGCATTTACTTCTTTGTAAAGTTTATACATTTTATAAAATACAAACGTTTGATAACTTTAGATGTTATACATCATAATAATATATTTTGATTTGTAACAGTGGTCACTTATTCTATATATCATTTAAAGTATTTATCAAAATTTTAGCTTAATCAGACAAATACATGAATTGGATAATAGTGACTTACTCATCTTATCACAGTTCAAAAATTCTTTTTATATAATCTAGATATTAGAATATTCTCTTTTAATAAATTCGCATTTTTTTGAATTAATCGATTGATCTTCCAAGAGAATTCAAAAAATTTTAAAAAGTTGGCATCATGTAATGGCATTTGTAATGAACCAAGACAAACTTTACGATAAGCAAGAGGATAGTATTTATCCATTAAATAAAAATATACATCACTTCCTAAAAAAAATATTAATATTATAATGAATTATTATCTTTGGTCAGAAAAACTTAGGAAAAAATAAATTAAATAGTTTACCATAAAAATGAATTAATATTATTTGGATTTTGGATGTATGTACTAATTTTTTTATGCGATCCAAGCCATCTTTTCCTAGTTTGCAAATTTTAAATTTAAGGCTTGTAAAATATAATAATAACTTTGAATTATAATTTATTCTTACCTAACTTGCCGAGTTTTATATAGTCATCAACAATATGATCTTCAGTATTAGAATTGAATGGTCCGTAGGATATTTCACCATATAAAATTTCTTGAGCACAATAAAAACTCGTATCATTGCAAGTTCCAAGTATATCTACATAATTTTGTGCACCACGATCTTTAGAAGCTAAGCTCTGTCCAAATTCCCATCGGACAAACAAATAAGGTGCGAGAAACTTTATATAACTCAAAATTAGATCGTGTGAATATGTAGATTCGTTTACAAGTGGTGATCTTTTAACGTATTCATCTTTATTCCACAAAGATTTTATTAAAATAACAAAAAATTAATTAGAATTATATTTTAAAATTATATTATATAATGATACATACGCTTTATCAATAAAATCTCTTGCCAATTTGCATGTCATTTTTTCTTCATTATTTAAATTTTCTTTGATTCCAATTGTATCATTTTTCAAATAACTAGATATGAATTCATATAAATAATCAGGAAAGATATCATCCTCCAAATCAATTTTGATAAACTTTTTCCATGTTTCATTTTGTTGTAATTTTTGAATAAGTTGCGCTTATTATCTTTAATCTTTTGATAGTTAATGATCCCCGATAATAATGGATCATTGCTTTCTAGAGAAATTTCGCTTATATTATTGACATAATTTTATTATTACTATTTTTCCACTAAATATTAAAATAAAAAATATATGTATTAGTAAAAATACATTTGTTAAAATAGATTTTTTAATAACTTACATTTTTTAATTGACTTAAAGTTTCAATTAATGGTTCTTCAACAGATTGATCCATCCAAATCTTCTAATAGCTTATGGATGATACTATAATTTATTTTTTGTAGCAGAACAAAATAATGTTTTACCGAATCTTTTTCACTCTACAAATTCATAAAAATAATTTAATTAAATAAAATTTATTATTAATAAACAATAATTATTCTATCAGATAAATATTAGTTATTATAGTATAATGTACTTTAAAAAATTATCATATTAATATAATTAGTATCATACAAATTCCTATAAGGAGTATGCCCAAAATCATCGCAGATTGATATTTGAAATAACCAATCTTGAACAATACTCAGGAATGGTTGTAATGATACATTAATATGATTAGTATCATACAGATTCCCATAAAGAGTATCCCTCAAAATCATCGCAGATTGGTATCTGAAATAACCGATTTCAAGCAATACTCGGAAATGGCTGTCTTTTTAATTAGCATCATTTATAGAATAATAATTATTCTTAGTAATCATAGTACAATATATTTTCCAAGAATAATTGTATTAATACAATTAGTATCATACAGGTTCTTATAGAATATTTCCCAAAATCATCGCAGATTAATATCTGAAATAATCAATTTTGAGTAATACTCAAGAATGTCTGTAGTGATATATTTGTGTTATCATCATTATATAGAACAATTTATAACATTTCAATCTATGTATATTTTACCTTAGTAAGTTGTTTTGGTGTATAATTGTTGTATTTTTTTGTTTTGGCGTTTTTATTGAATAATTTTAATTTTTTTGAATAATTAATTTTTTTGTTTTGGCGTTTTTATTGAATGATTTTAATTTTTTATATTATATGTTTCTTTATATAACATATAACGTTAATATTCCAGAACAATAAAATCCCCTCCCCAATGCTTTTACATATGAACTTTTTAATAATAATAACGATAAGCTATAATAACGATAAGTAATAATAACGATAAGTAATAATAACGATAAGCAATTAATAGATTCACATTTAGACGATATTCACACGAACTTTTCAATAATATAGAACTTTTAATAATAATACTCGCGTGATAAATCAAACGCAAATTGATCATTTACAAGCAAAGATAGAAACAAATAGAAACATGTTATACGGACAAAAAATTATTGGAACTTTTTAAGTTCGGGTCTTTATTGACCAATCAAATCGTTTAAATCGTTTAATTCAAAACAAACAAAACGTGATGTAATCGTTTATTTCAAAACAAATAAAACGTGATGTAATCGTGTGGCGGATGTGTGGCTAAACCAACTAAACGGCTTGCCTTGCTTTAAGGAACCCCTCAAGTTGGAAAGGGAATTGGTCATCATTATAATAATACAAATTCCAACAAACAGAGGTATTAAGAAAACCCTGAGAATTAGTCTCACATTTACAACATCGGCATATAAATCCATAATTACTTAAAAGCCTACTATGCCGTTTTTGTTTGTCATCTGTTGAATCAACGTAAGAAATAAAGATCTCTTGTCTCTTCTTCACATGCTTCAAGGTGATAATAGTAAAACGAAAGGAATTGCAACCTGTTTGTTTGTATTTTCGATGTAGTTCCATATATTCTGAAGTCAAATCCTTAGGAATATATCTTTCAGTTGCATTCATATATGTAGCTGAAGGATCACAGCTGTGATTAAAAAGAGATGCCAACGGAAAAATACCAAGAGTGTTTCGAGAGTCCCCATCTCCACCAAATACATTTGCTCCAAGAATCGCCATCAAGGTTATAAATACCCAAAAATCATATTGTATGTCATATAAAGAAATTTCTAAAAGTTTTAAGATCTCAATATAGATTATTTCGTATTCAACATCCCAAGAAAGATGTCCTTCGCAGTAATGTGAGCTTGCGTGTTTACGTGAAAGATACTTAATTTCTTTAATATCTAATGGGTTTACGTCTCGTTTCTTGGCCAAAGCAAAAAGTTTCAACACCAAAATAAAAAGTTGGTTCCAACCTGGACGAACTCTCTGTGCAGAACGAATGATAGTGTCAATATTCTTTCCGCAAAGTTGTTTATGATAAAGCTTCATTGCTAGTTTGTAGCATTTTTTGTTGCAAAAGATCTCTTTACATTGAGAATTGTGACAGTGATACTTGACGGCACATCTTGGATGACCAGAAGTTCCAACCAGTTCAAGTGTACAATATTCACATCTATCAGAAAAGTGATTATGCCCCGCAACAAATGGATCTTCTTCGAGAATACGTTCATGGATCGAAAAGTCTTGAGTAGCCTCAATTCCCAGGTGAATTGTCAATTTTGATTCAAGAACTATGTCAGGTGGAAGCTTTCGTAAAACAACCTTTAACTTTTTATTACTGGCTATATCAAGTTGATCCTGAAGTTCTCTTAGCACAGTAGCTGAAATGCGCTCACCCGGACGGTAATCCCAGGGGTACTGACCACTGAATTCAAACCATCCGGAGTCAATATATGTCAATAGAATGTTACTAAGTCCACATTTTTCTGAGATTGCCTGGAGTAACATCTCATCTATTGGTTTTGTTGGTGTTCCATCTGGTGATACCTGAATGCGTATGTCATCTATTTTCTTCAATGTTGATGCTAATTTCCGAAATTCATCCCGTTTCATCTTGGTCATCTCGCCAAAGCTTTCCGGCAGAACATTTAATTTCTCGTATTCCGAGGCAGAAAGCCCAGGATGACCTAAAGCACGCAAAGCTTCGGCATAATAATATCGTCCCTTGTAAATTATTTTCTGTAATTCGATACTGTCTTCACTTTCATCACATAAGAGTAAAACTCTCTTAGCATCCATAAGTGCAATTTCGGGATAACCTTCTTTAAGACATATCAAAGCACGATTGCACCACAAATTTGGATTGCTAGGTGTTTTGGCCAACTCACTGGTATATTGATTCCATTCGGAAATGTACCGACCATCCCTGAGAGTAGCAATTCCTTCAAATTGGTGGAAAAATTTGCGTGATCTGAGCGCGTTTTTTGTAGCTTCCATGCTGAAACAGAAAGGAAGCTATCGGAGAATGGGTAGTTTATAATTTTATATGTAGTTCTTCCGGAACCCCAAAAAGTATCGCCAGATTTAAAAGTATATAGTAATTTACTGATAGAAATATGTAATAGATAGATATCTCACGGATCAGCCTTGATATCATCAACACCACAGCTTCGCCGTGTTGTTGATGATATCAGGCATCCCGTGAGACATCTGATTTATCTCATGGACTAACGCTCGTGAAATATTATGAGCGAGCAATTAGTAAACGTGTGATAAAGATATATATACATAACTTGAAATTTTCAATTTTCATATATAAAGCGTGAGAAAAATTTTTTTTTTTAACTTTCCCAATCTACAGCCCTTGCATTTCAATAATACAATCAATTAGCTTTAAAATGATATAAAATTTAGAAATAATTATGAAATTTTTTATATTATATACAAAAAATAGATAACAGCCATGGGACATATAGTGAAACTGTCGCTATTTCAAGAAATTCGTTGAGTCGATCGTTGAAATTTTTATGTAAAAAAATTATTTTATAACGCGCGTAAATGAAGCCATTAAACTCTAAACAGTCTAAGCAAAAAAATAATAGCCATCCCACCACTGCTGCTGCTAATTGTCTGACAAGTGGGAGTCGCCAATGGTCTTGGAGAGATTCAAATGAAATAGAGCAAAAACATGAAGACGATGATAATGTAACAAAGGATGGCAAACGAAAAGACAAAGACCTTCCCGAAGTCTCGATAAATAAAAAAACCAAAAAAGCTAAATTCCAAATATTTGTTACCGACGAAACAGCAGATCTTAATACACGAAAGCCTGAAACAAATCAAGATTTTGAACGAGCTCTGCTTGGCTCACCGAATTCTTCGGTGCTTTGGTTACAATACATGGCACATCAAGTTGGTATGGGAGAAATACAAAAAGCACGTGAAATTGGTGCGCGTGCCTTGGAAACAATTAATCTTGTGGAGGAAACAGAACGAATGAATGTTCACAAAGCTCTTATTAGTTTGGAGGTGCAGTTTGGTAGTGAGGAAGATGTTTCAAGAGTATTTACGAGTGCGTTGCAGGTTTGTAATGCGAAACCATTATACTTCACTTTGGTTGATGATTATGAAATACATGGAAAAATTAAGGTAATTTATTTAATTCTATTACTTGATCAATGACGTGTAATGTATGCAATGATCATATACAAAATTTAGTTTCTTTAATTAAGGCAGCCGAGGATGCATATCGAAATATGATAAAGAAATTTCCCGAAGATCTAGAAGTGTGTTCAAAATTCGGGTTATTTTTATTCAAGCAGAGTAAAATCGAAATTGCTAGAGAATTACTTAAAGCATGTTTAAAAAGATTTGAAAAGCGTGATCGTAAGTATTTGTTTTTCTTGCATGTATCTTACTTTAGTTTACCTTAATTTATACTAATAAATGGTTGATAGAGATCCAAATAACCATAAAGTTTGCCACAATGGAATTCAAACACGGCGAAGCGGAACGAGGGCGCACAATTTTTGAACATTTGGTGCAAGCTAACCGTAAACGTTCCGATATTTGGTCAGTTTGGATCGATATGGAAATAAAAATTATGAATGAAGATAATAATAACAATAATAGCACGAATATTGAGAAAGTCCGGTTAGTAATCTTTCAATTTATTCTAATATAAATAATTTTTTAAATGTAGACAATTCTCTAATGTCCTCTTGTTGTTTTTAAAGTGCATTGTTTGAACGCGCGACTGCAATAAATTATTCATCAAAAGTGATGAAATTTTTTTTAAATAAATGGGTGAAATTCGAGGAAGAATTTGGTACAATAGAACACGTTGAAAAAGTTAAATTAAAAGCTATAGATTATGTCGATTCGAAACGAACCGATAACGATCGAGTGGTTTTGATGATATAAACAATGAACAGCATGCTTTTGTATCAGCACGCGGGTTTCTTTTTACTTCATGGCGCGTAACGTTTATCAAAACTTTGTTTTCTAGGTCAAAGCCAAAAATGAAATTTTTATTAAAATATGAGGAAAATATTCAGTTAATCCTGTACAAGAAAAGAATTGATATCAAACAGTAGCATCTCTTCACATAAACATATTGCTATAGCCCTAATTAAATTGTAATAAGGAAAATAGATTAGAAACAAGAGTAGAATAAACAAACACGCATGATTATATATGGCTTACTTACTGGTGGAGGTTCATCATCTGGATCCGGTTCACCACTGAAAATTAATTATCGTTTTTAGTATTCTATAAACATTTTTGAAGTTTCTTTTATGTTAAATAAATTCTAACCTAAAATATCCACGTCCTAAACCACCACCACCACGACCAGGTTGTTGACCAAATGGTCCAATTGGATCAAATCTAGCACCAGGTGGAACAGCACCTCTATTATATACATAATAAAAAACTAAATAAATGTTACAAAATAACAACAAAAAAGATAAAGAAAATTGTATATATACCGTGGAAGAGTTTGTGGACCACCGGGAGGTTCTCGACCGCCCCCAAATCTTCTTGGGTCAAACATAGGATGATCTGGTCCGACAAACATACCACCACCTCGACTAGGACCAAAACCACCTAAAGGTGGAGGACCGTAACCGCCGAATCTAATATTATTAAGTATTAATACGAATTTTCGTTATTATTAGAGATTATTGTATGAAACACACCTGGGAGGTCCAATTATAGGATTAGAACCAAGTGGATCTAGATCGTCTCGTCCGACACTGAATGGATTGTCAAATCTTTTTTTAAAAAAAAATAGAATAAAGAGAAATTTTTATTTACCCCACTTGAGATTTTGTGATGCAATTATAAAACATTATAGTATTTTGAAAATTATACCGTACCTTCCGTATGGCATACCGTAATCTGGTTGATGGAAAGGAACAGTTGGTCGTGGAGGTATACGTAAAGGATCAACTTCGGGCTGTTGATTTGGTGTTCTTGGTTCAGCTCGAGCAAAAGTAGAAGTTCTACTGTATTGTTTTTGTTTGACATAAATATACTTGTACAAATATGAATAATTATTTTGTAAAAAAAATTACGTTGGCGTGGACTCTTCGTATCCAGGTTTATTTAGATTGGGAATCAAATTTTGAATAACATTAATCTTGTAGAGGGTAATCAAATCATTTAATCGGCTTTGCGATATAAATCCATTAATGAGAGGTTCTGATGATTGAGCGGTGTAGGGAAAGAATGACGGTGATGTATAATCGTCTGTCAATACTTCCATTGTGAAGGTTTTGTTGTCCTGCAATAAAAGAGTATGTTAATAAAAACACCAAATCAAATGATTTCTTTCTTTTCGTTATACCTCTACACCCATTCCATGTAGTAGAAATTTATTTGATAATCGCATTCCTTTCACTAGGAAAGTAAGTGAGGATTGTGTATGTTTATATCGGAATGCGTAGGAGTCTGGACCTTTGGCATTCCATTCTTTTGGGAATGGCATTATTGATGTATTTTGTGTTTCTTGTATTTCTAATAAAATCAAAGATAATATCATTTAAAGTAAATCAGGAATAGAATTTTATGCTATGTTCCGCAATTTAACGAACCTATAGTTCCCTCCTCGCCAAGTCCAACAAACCGAAAATCAACAGCGAGCATAATAGAGTGAAATAACGCCGCTAAGGCGTCATGACCTGACCTAAGAATGACATTTTCAGAAGCTGAAGCAGCAGTTGAAGCTTCCTCGGCTCGCGGGCTCGGTAGAACATTTTCAAGAATATTTAATACATTGGCAGGGTCTAACGGATTCGCCTGACTCGGTAGTGTTGTAGTAGACATTACTTGCGTAAGATATGATGCAAGAAACGGTTATTCAGTTGCATTTTAGTCTCTGTGTCGGTCATTGGATATTCTGATGAGTCATACCATAACGTCATAAAATAGAATCAAGTTTTTTGGGGGTAGATGTCAGTCGAGAACGTAATATCTAATGGACCCTACCACCACTATTGAAGAAACTTTAGAACCACAATCACAACAAGAGACACCACCTGCACCATTATTTACCAGCAAAGAGCACCAAGTTTTGGAATATTTTGAACACTTGTCTTGGCTGAAACAACAACGACGCGAATATGAATACATAATTGAAAGACAGACGCGTAAATATAAATTCATTTTCTTCTGATATTAGCCAAACCTGTTTATTTATTCTTTGTTTTCTGGATTCTACAGAGCAAGAACAACAAAAAGCTGATGAACCTTCACACTCCAATCCTATAAGTAGCCCTTCTACTGACAAAAATCAAGAAGAAAAGCAAAAGGCGGAAGAAGAGCGACTAAAACAACGAATTAACCAATTAAAAAGAGAATTGGCACAGGTTTCTTCTGCTGATCTATTCAAAGATAAAGCAGTCGAAAGGTATATATTTGAATTGTTTAAAGTTATCAGTGCCATTAGTAATTTTATAATTCTTTATTTAACAAGTGCTGAAGCAGGAGTTGTGATTCTTGAAACATTATTTCCACAAAGATCTTCAGCAAGCAATAACAGCAGTAATAATTTGCAACCATCGTATGTACGTGATGATATTCGTTATTTTTTTTCATTCGTTCTTATTCTGAAGTACTCTCATTTCTTCGTTAATTAATTAAACGTACATTTATTCTTAGTAGTAATACACTAAACGAGTTAATACTTGAGCGAGACCGTTTAGTGACCGAATTCTTAAAAATGCATCATGAACTGCTCGAAGCACAATTCGAGTTATCAAAACACGAAAAAAAAGTTATTGGTTTGTTTAATGTTATAATATCAACATTAATTTTTTTATCTACCCGATATTTATTATCAATCACGTGCAACGGCTAGCTCGACATATCGAAAATCGTAAGTTAATGTCGGAAATAAATAGAATTACGGAATCCAATTCTGTTAGCATTGAAAATGGCTCAAATCCCGAGAACAGTGAATTTCTAGAGACAATCCAACGGTAAATTTCGGGCAAGGAGAAAAGAGAAATGATTTTCTGGGATTATAATGTCTTTTTTAATATTTGTTATAGGATAAGGAAAGATCTCGAAAACATTCTAGGGAAACGTGAGATCGTCAGAAATGTTTTACAGGTAAGCTTTTTTTTTTAATCGTTGATTGTGGATATTAAAGAATATTCTAATATTATCCATTAATAAAGGGATTGATTCTGGAAAGTCGTGTTGAATGGACAGAAGATGATCACTTGATGACAATCATGTTATCGATTGGCGAAGAATTTTGATTGTTAATTCTTACGACTTATTCAGTTATCTATTATCTATTTATTACTCGAATCTTTTCGATGTTCCGGGTTAACAAAATCAGTCTTTTAAAAATAACCATTAATAATGATCTTGAATATTTTTGTCATTTTCCAGCATTATTTCGCCTGATAATTTCAAACCATTTTATTATATATAAAAAAATAAGTAACAAAAAAATTGATATTCTAAAGAAGACATATTTATAAAGGGAATTTTTGAAGGGTGAATTTTTTTAATATTAATTATTTAATTTAACCACATTCTCCTTCTACATCACATTCCTCCATCTCTTCACCATAATCGTCGTCGTCGCCGCTTTCTTCACTTGAATTTTCCGGTGATTTTTGTTTTGCCAAGTATTTTTGATACCCCAACTTCAATCTTGTCAATACAGTATCTTGTAGTTGATGACGTCGTTTCTTTAATAAATCTAGTACAGGATCTGCGGATTTTTGTAAAACTTTGATTTCATCGTTATCAGGTTGTTTTTGCGATTTTATTTCCACTTTAGATTCGTGATGCTGTTGTTCGAAAACTTCGGTGACCCCTGTTTTTGCGTCATAAACTTCCTGCGCAACGGATTTGGCCGTTTTCTTGATGGATAGTATTGCCGAAGAAACAGTTTCCGAAAATTCTTTGATCGCGTCTGCTTCAAGGTTTTTAAAGATGGAAAATCCATCGGAAACAGTATCATGAAGTTTCCTTACGTAATAGTCGATGCCGGGATTATCCGCTTTTTTATGTTTCGCTAGAATTTCTTGAAAATCTTTTTTAGCATCTTTCGCATGTTTAGTCATGATCAACTCAAATTCGTTCGCGGAAGTTTCGATTTGATTTTTGATCGACGCCAAAGTTTCTTCGGCATCTTTCTTTGCCTCATTTACTTGTTCTTTTAATTCTCGCAAAATCTGTTTGGCGTATGAAGAAACAGCTTCTTTTTTATCGGTCTTTGAGGAGTCTTGTTTTGTTTGCTCAATGAGTTTTTGTAATTTGTGGATATGTTCAGATCCAGAAATTTTTATGGCATCGGCTTTCGAGTTCACCTTTCCCAAAATGATCCTTGAGTCATTAATTTGGATCCTGAATTTTTCGGTATGTTCAGTCGTTTGTTGCTCTAATTTGTTAAATTTGTCGGAAACAACTTTACGAAGAGCAGCCGTAGCAGCTTGTTTCGCAGCTAATTCCGCAGCTTGTTTTGCAGCTAATTCCGCATCTTCTTTTGCCTTTTTATCTTTCGCTTTCCTTTCCGCTTCCTCCTTTGCTTTCCTTTCGATTTCTTTCGCTTTACGCTCAGCTTCTTCCTTTGCCTTTCTTTCGGCTTCAAGTTTTGCTTTAAGCTTAGCCTCTTCCTTTGCTTTCCTTTCAGCTTTACGTTTAGCTTCTTCCCTTGCTTTATTTTCTGCTTCGGCTTTTGCTTTACGTTCAGCTGCTAATTTAGCTTGACGTTGGGCTTCTTCTTTTGCTAACCTAGCAGCCTCGGCTTTAGCTTTACGCTCAGCTTCAGCTTTGGCTTTACGTTCAGCCACGCCTGGATTTATTTGTTCTAGTATGAATTCCGTGGCGGTAGTAACATGAGGTTCAAGATAGACTTGATAGGCGGGAATAATGTGCTGGGTATAGGTATCATTAAGCACCACGATGGTTTTCTGTGCAGTAGGTTCGATTCTTTTAAAATAGAATGCAACTATTGCCTTCCATGCTTTTTGGAGATGGGGCGAGATGTGCTTTCGATAGTGTGGTAAAACTTCTCTATCGTAATACCTTTGAGTCTTTATGTACGCAGTATCGAATTGTTTTTGGGCCTCAGATAAATAAGGTGCAACAAAAACACTGATTTCCTTATAATATTTCCCGCTTTGTACATAAATGTTATCGACATGTTCTTTTGCGTGTCGGTTATACAGAACTTTGACCTGTTTCCAAACGACAAGTACATGTGTATGAACATTCTCGAAATAATATGTTTTTACTGTGTTGACATGAGGCTGAGCATTAGTTTCATACTGTAAATACGCCTTTTCGAGTACTGGTTCGACGACCGGTTTTCCGTGGGCTTCGTATTTATCACGGAAAGTTGTCATCGAAGGTTCCACGTAGTCTTTTTTCAGGGTGGTTATCTTTGGCTCAACATATCTTTGAAAAAGGTTATGCTCAAGGATATATCGAGAGACCCCGTTCGAACAAACCCATTGCTCGAAAGGCAAAGAGGGTTGTTTTTTATTATATTTAACATTTTTCAAATATCCGTCACAGGCGAACACCACATAGAATATGTAACATATGAAAATATTTTGTATGGTGAAAAGACGTCTTATAAACCCTGGCTGTTTCTTTTTCTGTAGAATGGAAGAGAAGATAACACCGAAATACATTAATATCGATAAATTAACCACGAATTCGAAATTGAATTGACCGAATTTAACAATATCTTACTGTCGTTGCCTTCTTGTCTTTTTTGGCTTTAACATTCTTTATGAATTGTTCAAGCGAAAATGTTTAGTTTACACGTTTGGGAATAAGCAAAATTGACCAAATGAAGCCTTACTTTTCCCTTTTCAAGCGATTCATTTGGCTGTTTTTCACTGGTTTTTTCATATTCTATCACCGAAGGTTCAGGTGTTAGTAGCTGCTGCTGTTTTCTACCATTAACTTGGGTTCCATTAGCTTCGGGAATTTGTTGAGGTTGAGTACTTTTACTGCTAGATTTCTTTTTGCTTTTCTTTTCGCCCATACTTTTGAAGTTTGAAAAATAGAGCGTAGGTATAGATAAAAAAAGGAATGCTAAAAAGATTTTCTAGTAACAATGGTGAATATAACAATTCTGCTCTCGTGAAGGTGTGACACCACACTATCACCAAACCAAAATTTGACGCGTGTTTCTTACTATACACAGCTAAAATCATTTCGAATATATCAAAATGAAGGATGCATAACGATAATGATAATTTCTATTTTGATTTGCCTTTGAGGAACATTCGACCAATCTGTAACGAGAAGCTAAAATCATCTATTTTTAAACTTAGAATTTGTTATTCTTGCAAGCAAGCCCTCTCTGTGACTATTTTTAATAATTCTCGATAAAATGTAATTAATTACTTATTGGTGCTTATTGGTAATTTACAAGAGCCAACATTAATTTTTCGGTACCTCGATAAAGTGATTGGTATCTGAACACTAATATACAAATAGAATTATGCAACGGTATACAATGTGTATGTTAAAGCCATGTAAAGAAAAATGGCGTTGTGTCAAATAGATGAATATTAGAGAGACGGAGGTGATCTACGAATATCTAATCTCTCACGTGACAAATAATAACACGTGACAAATAATAACACGTGCTCATAATCACAGGATCTCAACAGACCCTACTAGATTATAAATTTATTGAACTTGAGAGCTGCATATTCTTTACAAAACCATTTGATTATAAGTTTAACTTATCAACAAGATAAATGTTATATATATCATGTAAATGATGAAACATTAACTATTGAGTAGTGTTTTACTTTCGGTTTGGGACCTTGAATAAAACGCGTCGGAAATCTTTTTGTAGATCCCGGGGTTTTTCTGCAATGGTGATGTTTTGGTGGTGTGTAGTACCAAAGGACATATACACACATTCTGGATTATTAGAGAGATTGAGTTCGTGTCTTTTGGCGATAAGATCTTTGGCGAATTTGTATCGGATATTGCTGCTCACTTCGAGGTATTTTGATTCGAGAATTCGCTTCATCCAAGCAAAAGGAAGTTGAGTGTAAATGTTAAGAAGACCATGATAGCCACGGTTGTGGCAGAATCCACTACCAGCCTTTAATTTGCAAATATTTTGTCCTTCGTGAAGGTGGTTGCCATTGTTGGGATTAGTGTTGAAAGACTTTAGCAACCTTGGGAGTTTTCTGATGAGAAACGCGTAACAGAAATCTTCGATTCGTTTAGAGTATTCTTTATAGTGCTGGTCGAAGAATTTGATATAAGGTATGACAGTTGTTGTAGAAACATCCTTTTTCATGATCTCTACTGCCCAAGCACAAATGTCTGCTAGTTCTAGATGATAAGCGGCGACGAAAACGGATTTGACGTTATTCGGGTTGATCCAGTGGAAGCAGGACGCGTACATATGTGCAAAACAAATCCCAAGTCCTTCTTGAGTGATATTTTCGTCATCTAGGTTAAGAGTCATTTCCTTTGAAGGGAAATTGATCAACGCATCACGTATAATTGGAGAGCGAGCAATGTTGATGGCATGGAGGTGATAGAGTTGATTAAAGTTGGTATGGTTCACTTGAAGAGACACGTCAGAATAATGACCACCAATAAATCCATAATTATACATGTGGATGCAAATAAAGTCGTGATATTTTGGTAGGAAAACTGGCAAGGGATTATTGGTATAAGCCACTTGTTTTTCTTTGATATTTTTTTCAGTAGCTAATTGATGATGAATGTTATGATTTGTTTTCCCGTTTACTTGGGTCGCGATCGATTGCACGCTGGGTTGGTAAAGGTGAATTTGTGGTGTCATAATGCTGTTGCTAGATTCGTTGCTACTGTTAGTCTTTGAAGGCTGCATATTATTGTTATTGATAGTGAATATTTTGGATCTTTTTTATCTCTTATACTATTGTCCAGTCTGTATGTCAAGTTATTTATTTAGTCGAGTACTGCAGAGGCATAAATAAAAAAGATTAGATTTTTTGTTATAAATTATATTTTTTCGAACAGAGAACAGTGGTTACGAATAAAAGGTGTCTTGAAGTGTTTTTTTATTAACAAGAGTGCAAGATCAGAATATAAAAATGGTTAACGAAAGCGCGAAATTGAATTATATACACGTCACAGGAAATCTCTTATATGTATACTCTCAACATTGGCCAGCACTAAAATCCCTTGGCCGGAATTAACAAGTGATGCATCGGCATTGATACTAATTCAGACCGGCATTAGTTAATCGCTTTTGGAAGTTATTTGTAAATATAAAAAAAATGCCGGACATTTTCCTGTGTTCACTGTCCAAGTTTTTTTTAATATTTTAGCCGATGGTAATTTTATTTTAGCAAAAAACTCATTTATCGTTATAGTAACAAGTGATCATATTAAGGTGTTCAGACATTCCTAATTCCCTCAAAAATAAAATATAATTTCCATTAAGATAGCAATCTTTACTTTTTTGTTAATTCTGCTTTCAAATTCCAAATTGTTCTTAATTTCATGATTCTTGGTTAACGTTAAGTTATCAAGGAAGTTTTTCAAACTTTTTGATCTACAATCTTGCTCGAAAATATCAATATTCACCACTTTGATCTTGGTGACCGATCGCAAATTTTTCGGAAAAGGGGGGAGGTATCTGGCACTGAAACTCTTTCAGAACCAAGAAACAATGGAAGAGTAATTGGATGAACATATAACAGTGCTCGTGCTCGGACAACCTCGATGGGTCCGAATATCTGTAACGTGTTAAAAGAATTAATGTAAGCCACAAACTCATGGACCAAACAGTATATTATAGAACAAGTAAACCTACGAGTCCTGCTCAAATCTGATTTTCCACGATCCATGAAAACATCTTTGCTAATCAAATGTCTACAAGTTGCATCATAAAGAAGATGAAACCTCTGGTGGAAGCGATGGTTCGTTTATAGTATAAGGATTAATCTCTGTTCTTTCCTATTCATGAACACAGATACGGACATGGCCAACCATGGTTGACGACAAAAAGATGCCCCGTGGAGAATACTCGAATCATCTCCATCTCTATTATATGTTCTTTCTAATTCTTCTTCCGTTATCGAATTAGCCGATGAAATTACTGAGCCACCGCCTATCGTTTGATTTAATGTATTCGACTGATTAAAGCTAGCAATATTCTCATTTGATCATTGGCTAGTCAGTGTTACATATCTTTTCGGCAGTGTTTTTTATCCTATGCTAAATAAAATCCGAATATTTAACAATATACTGAGACTATACTACAGCCATCAACAACATCGTTTCTACAATGGAGGAAAATGACAAAATTTTTTTGCTCATATTGGGCAATGGTAAAGAGGCAGTATCCACCAGAGTCCATAAAAAGACCCCTGCATCACTTTGTCGCATTGTATATAGATCACAATGTAATCCTTGGTGTGCATCCCTGTCTCCATACGAAATCAAACCCCAAGATCGAATATTTTTAAGAATATTTAACGTGATCGAATTTAGTAGGAAGTTGTTCAAAAGTGTCTTTTCACAAGACATATAATTCATCTCTGTTGTATATGGCAAGTTTTTCGAGATCGGTATTGACTTTTCTACTGGAATTAATAGTCTGTGCACAATGTACGTATTCGTAATGGAAACTGTTCTCTACTGGGTATTCCTACTTTTTTTTCTTGCGCAACTAGTTTAGGACTCAGGAACTCAAATTCCATCGCTGTCATAAAAAGTATTCTCCGAGCGTACAATCTTTGATTATATAAAATCATGGATTTACATAAATACATATATCTATTAATTAACAAAAAATCATTTGACCAAATTTACCTTCCATGAATAAACTTATGTCCTTTTCTTGCTTTCTCAACAAATTCTTGTAAAGTTATAGCGATCGTATTCAGATTGACTGTTTTTCTGCGAAGGATGTAAGCTCTGTTTCGAAATCATCACTCTCAAATCCTTCGTTCACACTCGTAGGTGATTGCTCAATGTCTATAACATTCTCTTTTCGTTGAGCCCAATACTTCGTAACATTATTTCTTTGTTTCTGTAAAAAAAGAATTTTGTGAGATAAAATTATCACAGTAAGAAGCAAAAGCAGACTTCATCGTAGCTTTCTTGTGATTAAGGGGTGATGAAGGGTTCGACATAAAAAACCTAGTTCCATCACAAGTTTCTCTATCGGCCAATGGAGCTCCCTTTCAGTTTATCAGATGAAAGAGTTCGGTGTAAAACCTAGTCTCCACCAAGATTCACTATTGGTCAAAGCACAAACTCATTGGAGCTCCCCTTCAGTTTATCAGATGAAAGAGTTCGGTGTAAAGCCTAGTCTCTACCGCAAACTCTTTATCAGGCAAAGCACAATTGCTTGCTTACTCTTATTTTCGCTTCGCTGTTTTGCTCCAGGGTAATTTGTCTGATATTTTGTGATAAGCTTTCGTCCTCTGAAATGAATCTTAACAATTTTCTGTAGTGCATTATCTTTTTGTTGACTTTGAGATAGACCTTGTTTCTCGAGAAACTTTAGAAAATCAATCCATGAGAATTTGTTATCGGTGCTATTTAAAAAATACTTGAGCTCCTTTTTATACTCGCTACGGTAGGTTGAAAGGACTTGTGATGGTTCTTTGGAAGTTTGACGCCACCAATTTTCGAACATTTTAGTTTAAAGGGTCTAATGTACAACGCGTTCAAACGTGTCTTAATAAGATCAATGAGTAACACAAACTAAAAATTTTCCTTGTCATCTGACCAAATAAACACGTGAAGGAAGATAAAGACATCTCGACATATAGCGTATACATATATACACATATATATATATATATCCCATTGATTGAAGTGAATCATTTATTCTTAGGAACCTATTTTCTGATAATAGTAGAAATAAATTAGGGTTAGGTCTATATCTAATAATTTGTCTGGATCAATTTCCACGTACTCTGTGAAATATAATTACGATTAAAAATATAAAAATATTCTATCTTAAAAAAATGAAGGAATAACCAAGTCAGTTACGAAGAAATTTTGCTAAAAATAGTTGGTTCACCGGTGTACTCCGGTGCTTCCTTTTGTTTTGTTTTGATATTTTCCATAATTTCCTTGAATTGCGATTTTTCCAAATCGTCGCGTTTCGACAATATATCCTCAATTAGGGCAATCGATACATCACCGTATGCTTTCTTCATATTGTAATAGTCGAGGAAAATAGTTTTTCGTGAGCTGGCAAGTAAGGAATGAATTCTTTCATAGACGTCGAAAGTATTCTCGAGATCCTGTTGTGGGATATGATCGTGAAAGAATCCAAATGCCGTTCGGACATCGTTAGTGATTCGATCAAGACATTCTGGCATTTTGAATTTCGCGCCTTTATTACGTAACGCTTCAATCCATGCAATCATGAAACGGGATAAAGTGTCGGTCATTAATTTGTCAAGAAGATAATTTTGGAGGTTGTTTTGGAAGTCGCGTGTGTAATCTTTTATTGTTTCAATGATGAGTGCCATTGGATCTTCTTGATACCAATGTACAGTGTAAAGTTGACTGAATGGTTGTTTAAGATCATGGAATACTTGATCCAATAATGTTTGAGTACAAGCTCTTGCAACAGCCAAAAAGCCATTGGCTGCTTCGTTAAGATTATCATTTATCTGCTTTCGATATTTCTCTGATAATAAAGGTCCAAGTCTAGTGACGACATCATCTGTGAAATTAGCACAACGAATTTGATCATTCGCCAATGCAATGACATATTCCACGAAACCACCCGGTGCCTCTTCTTTTTTATCAATTTGTCGTTTAAATTCAGCTTTTAATAATTGCGTCCACTGCTGTTGCGTCGCAACCATTACCTCACTGCACTCTTTCACGACATCAGCGAGGATTTTCGCTTGTCCAGATTCTGCAGCCACATCTATTTGTTGATTAACCATCTGAAACATAATAACCGCTCCTGAAAGTCCATATAATTTATCACCGTCCATTTCCGGTGGTTTACTTCGTTCAGTGAAATCTTTTGTTTCTCCATCCATCAAATTGTTCATCCATTCTTCTAATTTACTGCGAATTAATTTCAGGTAGTCGTCAATCAAGTCTTGCTCTCGTCCATCCAATAATAGTGGTTCCAATAATTCCTCAGTGATACGAATATCCTTTTTCATTGTCTTGTAATATTCTCGTACCCAGCGAATTATTCGTAGAATTGTTCCTGCATCTGGATCCGATTTCGTTAGTTTGTCTAAAATATTATATACATGTCTATGATATTCTAATACATATAAAGAAAATATATTATATTTCTTTGGAAATAGTGGTACTATCTCTTTAATGACCAACAGCAAATCATTGTAAATAAATTCAGCTTGATCAAACATTGAAATTGGATCGTTTTTGAAATCGTCATAAAAGCTATTAAACGTATCGGCAATTGATTCGTGAATCTTGTTCTGGAATTTTGTACGAAAAGATCTAATGACGCGTGGAATCTTCTGTACTGATTTAAACTTGTCTGCTAAATCTTGATGACTATGGAGAGCTTGTTCAGCTAATTTAGCACGTTCGTCCGCTCGCTCTTCCAACTCAATTATTTTAATGAGACGCACTATAACGGATCTTTGTCCAATTTTCGCTAAAACAATTATATTTTTAGTTAATGTCCATAGATATTCATTAAACTCGGCTGAAAATTCATCTAATCTCTCAAAATAATGCTTTAAAGTTTCAATAACATCCTGAGAACAACTTTTCGCTTGATTCATTGAACTTTCTCGGAACTCTTCCAATCGATATAGTTGAAAATGAATAGGCAAAAGATTCTTTGCTGTTCCTAAAACATTTTGTTTATCATAATCCAGCATAGCTTGAATTTGATCGATTCGTTGATACATTTCCTTTAGACGATCAATTGTTTCCTGAGTTGCCATGAAATTACGGTGAATTTGTGAAATTTTATTGATCCATGGAAAATGATCAATCATATCTTGCGCGCTAGAGCATAACCGATCAATGCTATACATGTTATCTTTAATAGTTAACATTTGTTTTCTTGAGGATGTCAAAGTTTCGAGTCCTTCCTGAGTATTATCAAGTTGTGCTTTGACTCCAGTCTTTAACTGAGCATCGATGGTGGCCTTTTCTTTTGTAAGTCTTTTACGTATAAGACTTATTTTCACTAAATCGTCAGGTGAGCGCAATAACTCTACCATGCGCGCAACTGCCGCATCCACCGCATCGCTAGAAGATTCCATTCTGTAAATTTTTAATCAAACAACACCTTGAACGTATAACTGTAAATAGATGCTGCATAAACACCCCATTATAGTAGATCCCCATTTAATCATTTCAACGCGCATCTATTGGTCAGAAACAAAAAAATTTATCGATATACAGTGAACGGATACTCGATATAACGATAATGGACATTAACGTTAATTAAAATCTCGATATAGTTAGATTTTCGCACAGTGGTGTAAATCTCGCACTAAATCAAATTACCCAATCACATGATCGAAAGAGCAAACCATTAACGTTAGTCATTGTCAATATCAAATGAGGTACAGGTGGAATGACCGTTCGTTTTATTAGATATTCGTATTCCATCATGTAAATTCTTTTGGATCTTTAAAACAACGTAAAAGGTTCAATTTATTATATAACATATATCTTGTTGATAACTTGTAATAATGTGAGATGTTGCTTTTCATTATTATCTATATCTTTTGTTACCAACTTTTTAAAATCTTCACAAGATGATTATATCATTTTTTTCTAACTATATATTACTATGACTTCATAATTCATGATATAATATAAATTCTAGGAATAGCAATTTGATCAAGCTGTTCATTTCGTAAAAAATCTTTTAAGAAATCAAATTTACATTTAAAAAATCATTATTAGCTAAAAGAAAATATTTTAAGAAATGGTGATATATATTTATAAAAAATTTTGCAGTATAATAAACAAGTTACAAATAGATAAATTTAAGTTTTTAAAAATTATAAGATAAATGTGAATATTATAACAAAGTTAATAGTTTTTACTAATAAAAAAGCTTTTTTATTTATAAATTTTATTTAATTTAATATAGATCTTATAATAATAAAAAAATTTATTATTTTATATAAATTATGTAATATTATTCAGAGTTATAATTTTTAATTTAATAAGAATAATATGACAAAATCAATATAAAAATCCCATAATAAAAATGAAAATAAAATTTTTTTATTTATATTATATTGTAATATTATTTAGCTATTTGTATTTTACATAAATAATTATTAAAATTAGTATTATTATTATTATATATAAATCAATACAAAAAGATTTGTATTTCAAAATTAAAATTTAACTAAATTCTATAATGTTTTTATACTAAATAAAAAATAATTTAAATTAATTATTTATATTATTTATATTATTTATATTATTTTTATTATTCTTTTATACTTTTATTCAATAATAAATAAAGTAATACTTTTCTAAAAAAAAATAAAATAAAAAATTATTTTTTTTAAAAATATTAAAACTTTAAATTATACAAGTATTTTGCTATATATTTGGTAAAAATAAATTTTAAATTTTATAAAAATCGAATTAGTAATTATTGTAAAATTAAGTCTCAAAGTTTAATAATTACATTATTTATTATATATATTTTATTAATTTTAAGCAAAGTTTATATAATAAAATTTATAAAATAAAAATTCAAAAAAAGTTATTACTAGTAAAAATTTTTTTATAAAATATATATATAATTAAAATATATTTATTTTAAAAAAATAATTTATTTGAAATACAAATTTTTTTGCACCAATTTATATATATATTACAAAGAATATTTCATATATATATATTAGCTAATAGAATTATAAAAATTTTTAATTTTAATAATAAATATTTTTTATTTTTATATTAAAACAAAAATTATAAATTATAGTTTAATATATATTTTTCTGAATTTTTTAGATTTTTTTCTGACAAAGTTGTTCTAATTACAAAGTTATTACAAAAATTTTTTATAATTAAAATATAAAATTAATTATAAAAAATTTTTGCAATTAGAACAATTTTGTCAAAAAAATCTAAAAATCTAAAAAATATATATTAAACTATAACTTATAAGTTTTGTTTTAATATAAAAAATATTTATTAATAAAATTAAAACTTTTATATAAGACAAAAGTTTCAATTTTATTATATTTTATTAATAAAATTATATGTGTAATTCGTAATTCTATTAGTTACTATATAATATTTATTTGATAATAATATAAAATAAATTTATATTATAAGATCTATAAAAATAATTATATATTATTTGTTTTTATATATAGTTAAAATTAGATAAATTTGATTAACTTTATTAATTGATTTTTTGCATTATACAGAAAATTCAATTTTTTGTACAAATCAAATTTTAATTCTACATAAAAAAGTATTACAAATAACTTTACTTAGTAAACAAAATTTAATTTATTTAGTAAAAAATCCTGTTTTCATACAATATATTTAATTCATCACATTTAAATTTGTTATGTTTATCTTATAAATTTAAATAATTTTATTAATAACTGATAAAATAAATAAAAATAGAAAATTTTTCCAAATTAATTATTTCTTCAAGATAAAAAGATTAATTATCACTATAATCTTATTAGTTGAAATAATTTCTTTATTAATTATATATCAAGTATCTTTAAAGATATATACATTTTTTATAAAAAATAAAATTATTTAAATTTATATAAAAATTATTTTTGTCTGTTAATAATATATTAAAGTGGAATGCTTTTGCTTGTAATATTGTTCCAGACGAAAAATTATTTTTATCTGGAATTATGTATAGTAATAAAATAGGTCGTTAAATTATCGTTATTATTTAACGTTAACGGTCATTCATTAATTTGGTCAAGATATGCAAAAAGGGAAAAACGCGATAGCATGCATGCTGATAGTTTTTTTTTGTAAAAAAAAATACGAGAAGCTTAAATATAAACTCCTATCATATCATATAACCATTTCTTCGTCCTGCATAAGAAACAATAATAACGGTCAAGAATTTAGTAAAATTCACAAGAATAAATCACCAAAAAATAGATACACACCATTTTCTTTGCTTCTTGAAAACACGAATCATACAACTTTTTATAATCTTCAATTCCTTCGAGCTTTCCTTTAGGACCACCCGGTATCACCATCACAACACTAGTTGGACGTTTCGTGGCCGCGTTGAATCCAAGATCAAGTTTCGACGGGACATAAACATATGGTACATAATTTTCTTCACATAGAACTGGAAGATGTGTTATTACGTCGATTGGAGATATGTCACCTGCTATTACTACAAGGCTGAGTACAATGTTTTTTTTATTTTTGATTATTAACTAATAAAATTAAAGAAGCGAAATGCAATTTGACACGAGTTTTTATAGATTACCCTTTACTTCCTTTTCGTAAACCTTTTACAACTTCTTTAACCCCTCGTGTGAGATGTTTCTTTCTTGCAGCTATTTAATTAATCAAAATTGTTCAAGTTTACCGCGATTAATAAATAAAAGATATAATACACAAATTCCATCAAACCTTGTTGGACAGTCCTTAACAATTTTTTCGTCAAATCCTCAGAGGCCAATGGCCTTGCTATGGGAGACAATGCATTTAGATTGTACGAAAACTTTACTTCTCGTTCTTTATCTTTCTTATGTTCCTTCGTATCAATGGAAACTTCTGATAACTTTTCCCTTATGCCTCGGTCTGATTCTTTTTCTGTCATTATGAAGTCTTCATCTTGTGGTTTTTGTTCCTCATGATTTTTTTCGTCAATTTCCATGCCATCAAGCACCTTCTTTTCCCTTTTCTCCTTTTTCTCCTTTTTCTCTTTCTTTTCCTTTTTCGTTTTTTTCTCCTTCTTTTCTTTTTTCTCTTTTGATTCTTTAGTCATGTTTTCTTACTTGATTTCGCATTAATTTTTTCGTAGATAATCAATTAACACACTAATCACATCACGTGATTGAGAAATTAAATTCTTATTTCTTGAATAAAATAAAAATATAGCGACATTACAACACACGATCTAATAAGTAATATATAAGTTTAGATCAACCATTTAATAAATTTCAATCTCCCAACATCTCTGTTTGCATTAAAAATGAATCCAGCAGCACTTTACAAATACTCTCGTATAGGCTCAACCTCTATTTTAAATTCTACTGCTACTGCTTCTTTCCGAGAACAGGCATTAAAAAGAATCGGTAATAGCAGCAACAGATTAGCAGTTCGTCACTCGGGTTCATATCATTTCGAAAATGTGAATGGCTATGTAAAGTACCAATTTCTCGCGTTTTTTGTTTCATTTTTTGGTATTTGGATACTGTTCTTAATAAAACATAAATCAACAGCACCTTCCCTTCGGAACTGAAAACAAACCAAAGCTCGTATTATACATGACGCTTTATCTGGGTCTTGGGTTTTCAATTCCATTCATTGGTAAATTTATATATTATTTATCATCTAAATATTCTTATTTATATACATTCATATATTAAAATTTATTTTCTTGTATAGGTGCCATATGGCAATTGTAAGTTCAAGGTTTTTTTTATCTCATTAACTATTGACGCTACCCTCTCTCTAACTTATTGTATTTTATAAAGTCGTAAAGCAGGAAGACCTATTTTCCATCTTGGTCCTCCCATAGAATCTTAAATCTACATTAAATAAATAACATCAATCATTAGATGTACAAAGTTTCACTATTATATATACAACGATACAATAAAAGATCTAAGCTGCAAAAATACAATGATGACGATGGAAAGTGTATATTTGTGGATTCATACTTTTTGACTAGCAAAACATATTAGATCATTCGCATGTGCGGTTTGACTTTTTGTTGATAAGAATAATGACACTGATAGAAAATGATGTGCAAATATCAATGGCTTAGTTGATAATCTGACCAATCATTTAATCGTCTTCGTCATATTCCGAGCTCACAAGTGATAACACTACAAAAATTCAATAAGAGTTAGTCAATTTATTTTTATTAAAATGAATAGAAAATTACAATAAATTACCTTTAATTGGTGGCTTGTCATACTCCTTGTTATTTCCGTTATCGTTGGTATTATTCTCATTATTGTGATGGTGATTGTCTGTGTCGTTATTATCACTGGATTGTCGCAAATTTTTTTTCTTGACTGCCACAATTTGAGATCCTCCGCCGCCACTTTTGTCTTTGATAGTGACTACGCCGTTTCCATCTCCATTGCTCCAATCATTTGTGCCTTTTAAAAAAGGATCCGTCTTTAATTTTGTGTTGATTTTGACGATGGCTGATAACTGAGCGACTTTATCATTGTTAATCTTATCAAGTTGCTGTCGTAAAGCGGAGGATGAAGACACCTTTTTCGACTTGGACGAACTGTGTCTTTTGAATATAGACGACGCGGAAACCTCCAATTTGCGCTTCTTCGCCTGTTCCAAAACTTTATCCGAAAAATCTGTCGTTTTTGCCATAAAATCATCTTCAGGAGATTCGGGCAATAATGGAATCGAAAGTCCGTTTCGTGTTAATATTTCATCATCTTTTAATTTTGTGAGGTGGAGTGTCTTTTTCTCTTCCTACAGAAAGGGAGTCAATACGTTTGTTTTATAATAATGTGAAAATTGACAAATGAAAAATCGATTACCCTAAATTTTTTGCGCATTTTCTGTGAATGTGTATAAGGATCTGCCCATTGTTTCTCATTTAGCATCTAATTAATTTAAAAATGAGAAAATAAATCATCTGATCCTCTCTCACATATACATATAACCTTCAAATATTTGGATTATCATAGTCAGTCACCTGTAACCTTTCCAAGACGGTAGCACTCTCTGCAGCTTTTCGTTCATCTTTAACCGTATGCTCAAGTTTAAAGAGAGCATCTTCTGCTAATCTCCGTTGTTCTTCCTCATCTGTAAATAAAAGGTTTGTCGATAATATAAGTCACAATAATGAACCAATGATTCAAAACGAATACCTTTCAATCGTATAGTTTCAGTATCCTCAGGCTCCCAGGTTTCTACTTTCTGACGAGCGCCACCTACAACAACATATTGTGCATTCTAATCAGAATTATTAAAATAGACACGAAGCATTAGAAAATTACTTTTGATTCCGTGAATAAAAATATTATCAAAAAAACTTACCTTTGGATCGGTCTGAATCTCGATCCAATTATCACACAAATGGCATTTCATACGAAAGCTCCATATCGGCGTGCTATAATAGTTTCCGATCCTCTTCTTTTCGGCATTATATCTAACACCTGTTCAAAATAGAGAAAAGAATAGTTCTAACGAGGTCAATAAACTTCTAACGAGGTCAATAAACGTAAAAACATAGATTACCTTTTCCGACGTGTTTTCCGCATCCATTACACCAGATATTATAAGGTAGTTCAAATCTGTTTTAGTTTAATTAATACGACGCGAAATGTCAAAATATAAAAAAGTCCATGGAAAGAAGTAAGCACGAGAGCGATTGGAAGAAAAAGACTAACCTGACTATTAGTATCCCTTGGTCGATCTTTCGCGCTCTGTCACCGAGAGGGTGTTTTCCAACAAATTTGTTTACTGACCCCTAATTTTGTCAAAATCAATGCATTAAATATTCTAGTTTTTGTTTAATCGTGGAATAAAAGTATAAAACTCTCAGGAAATGGAAGTCACCTTACTGGGATCCCAATCGGACGGATAGTATTTGTTGAAAGGTTGCATATTGTTGATTTGGAAAAGTAAAAAACCAAATAAGCTTTATATGATAAATCGATAATGAAGATATGAATGATATGACAGAGATGCAAAATTTTCTGATTAAATAATGATTTCTTTAACCACACGAACGTTACGCTTGTTCTATAAATCTCAAAACCCGAATTTTAGAAGAAAGGATAGCCTTTTTTCAACAACTTGTTCTCGTTTTCATGCTGAAAATAATAAAGTCTTATTTGGCTGGGGTGATCTAGGGTCTTTATATTCGGAAAATACTATTAATAAAAATGAAAGGGGCGACGATATTTACATGTTTAAAACACCGAAAATTTTAGAAATTGAACAAATTGTAGGATCAGAGTTATCAAATTCGATAGAGAAAGAGGTCAGATGAATCGATATTAGAAATTTGATAAGAAATTTTATTCGCCAGCGTCATTTGTAATTGTTATTTCACATTAAATAAAAACGGGAAATTTCTCAAAAAAAAATTGGAGATGATAGAAAATCTGTTAAGAAAAACGAGTCATTGCCAACTTCGCAGGCAATAATTAAATTTACTGCATTTTCATTTCTATTGGATGGATCAAACATGATATTTTATAATACTACATTTTTGCACCTCTAGAAGCTTAAAGTTGCAAAAATTTCAGCGGGATGGGGACACTCATTAATAGCATTCAAGCGCGGAGAAAAAAATTTTGTTTTCTCGATGGGATTGAATAATTCGGGGCAATTAGGTTTATATCTTTATCCACCTATTTTGATTTAATCCATGGTTTTTTATGATAATCAATCTTTAAGTTCTTGTAATAGGACACGGAAAAATAGCCAAAAAAGGATATCATAAAGGACTCGTGAAAGGGTTACCTGAAAATCAAGAAATTAATATGCTGGCGTGTGGTCGATTACATTCTTTTGTTTTAACGTCTAATAATGGTATTTATTATTCAATTAAATAATCACATCAAATACTTAAAAAGAAAGAATTTATTAAATACACGTTTATTCTTTTATCATCTCTTAATCAAAGCAACAACAAAAACAGAATTATATGGATTTGGAGATTGTATGTATGGACAGCTCGGTACTGGAAAAGATAAAAAAAACTCTCCTCTTCCAATAATGGCGGTCGCTTGTGAGCCATTACCACGTCATATTGACACTTTTGCAGAACATGAGAGCGTCAAACAAGTGACATGTGGTTTAGATCATACAGTTATTCTAACAAGTAAATGTTTATTAAAAAGAAAGTCATCTATTTATTGATTTATTTATATGTATTAATTTATATAACAAAAATAAATTACTACTATGTAATTCATAGATGAGAATAGGTTATACTCAATGGGATGGGGAGCAGACGGTCAACTAGGCCTCGGCAACGACAGCACCACAGATAAATCTGTTCCTTCGGCAATAACTAAACCACTTAATAAGGATGGACATCAAGAACGAATACGGAAAATTGTTTCCTCGACAGATTTTACAATGGTTTTGTTAGGTGGGTCGATTGATTCATAGATAGGTGTGGTTTAATTCATTTATTGCAGATATGATTATTTCTATTGTTTATCAAATTTAATTTTTTGATGTTAGAAAATGGAACTTTATGGACCTGGGGAAATTCAGAGTATGGACAATGCATGTCTGGAGCTAAAGTTGATCGGGTTCTTATACTTATTATTCTTTAGAGACGATGTAAACTTTTATTCTGCTACTTAAACAATCCTTTTTATTAAGATCTTAGAACCGATGCAAGTTCCAACAAAAGACCGTATTGTCGATGTGGCAAGTGGAGGTCCATTTAGTCTATACTTAAATGGCAAGTAAATTTCTATTTGATTTTCACTGGTTATTTTATATGATGTACAAAAAGTTCAGGGGCCAACTGATTAAATTATTTTAATAATTTTGCATGCTTGAGAAAAGAACTTGCTTTAAAAACATAAAATCTGATAAATTATTTCAACTGCAAAACCACATTTCATTCTATGATTTAATTACTAATTTTATTTTACTTTTTTTATAATCAGATCAAGGTCAAGTTTTTGTATGCGGTTACGGTCCTCTAGGACTCGGCGACTCGCATATTGAGCGACTTACACCTGCTCGTATTCCGTATTTTGGTGAAAAACAAGAGTCTAAAGAAAAAGTCGGTGAAAATATTGTGGCGATTTTTTGTGGGCTTGATTATGCAGCTGCTATTTCTGGTAATTGATTAGGATGTTCCTTTTCATCATTTTCTATTATTTGTCAATTATATCTGTTATTTTTTAATAGAATCAAGAAACCTCTATACATGGGGATTCGATGGCACGCTAGGGCTCTTGGGACATGAAAGTTATCACATAAAACATCAATTCATCCCAAAAAAAGTAGAGTTTCCTGAACCTGTTAATGTTGAAACTTTGGCTTGTGGCGGACGTAATGTATTGGCATTATGTAGTCCTAGATGAATCGATCAACATTATATGAAGATTAATGATTGGTTACTATGCTAATAGGCTAGTGATTGATCTCCGTGATTGTAGTGAGGTGTGACTGTACAAAGTGAATTTCTTAGCCACAAATATATTAAATACGAGATGTGGCATATCGATATCTGATATATTCTTGTTAAAACTCGAATTTTACTTTTTTGATGGATCTGCAGGTACCCTTGATTTTTGAAAAATAGCTTGTATCTCGAAATTATGCCTATGAAATTGCTTTTTATGTTCTAATAAAAAATGTTCCTTGCGAAATTTCTCATGTCCAATATAACTCCCTAACCTTAACACTAATCATAATCGAAATATTAATAGCATTAATAGCATTTCGATTATATTGCACATTAGTTTGTAGTAAAATTTCTTTGTTTACACATTAATCTGATTGATTTATCCCAGAGTCTGGTAAATTTTTGTCAATCACCAATAAGAATGCACAAATTTTTGATCAACCCGGCACAAGATATGAAAAATCCGAGAAATGTGAATATTACAAGAAAACTGATGCTTAGATCTGTCTTGGAATACTAATTAAAAATGTTAGAAATATGATTTTATATATAAGTTTGTTTTTTAATCCTAATCCTTACCCTAATCTTATTGGTTGCATGCGGAAAATTTAGAGGAATTGAATCACATGTAATATAAATTAAGAGTACTGTTACACATTTTTCAAATTAGCTAATGACATGAATGAAAGTTGAAAAAGAAAATTAAACAATAGGAAAAGAAATAATAAAAAATATATTTAAGTTCTATGTCAATGAGTCTACCAGGATGATCTCTAAAAGTTCAAGTCACATGATATTGCTAATCAATACCAGCTCTTTCGATTCATCAGTTCTGATCTATAAGATATTCATATTGTCATAATATGATATTTGTCGAAAAAATTTATTGGATAAGAAATATATTAATTATTATTGGATATATTTATTAGTATTTTTATTGAATAGTTATTTTTAAATAGTTATTATCTTATTGAACAATTATATGTTAGATATTATTGATTCTTAGGTTTGTGTTAACACCAGTAACATTAACAATAATAATAATGATATCAATGCTTGTGTTAACAACAACAATAACATCAACAATAACATCAACAATAACATCAACAATAACATCAACACTCATATTAATGCCAAAAATGCTGATAACACTCGTGTTTAATTAAATTAACAACAACAATAATAGAATCAATTATATCGTATAATATGTAATTTATATAAATGTACCATATATCTTAGCTTAAAAAGTTAAGAAAGTTAAGTTAATAACTTAAGAAGTCTATTATTTGATAGAAACTTTAGATAACTTGTAAAGCTATATTTGTATTGGTTTTTGATCTTGAAAGATAAATTGCTTATAATAAATTATTATTGTTGACTTGAAAGACAGTCACTTGATAAAATTATTATTTAAATTATAATTTTTGAAGTTCTAAATAATATACAAAACTTAGTGAATGTCATTCTAGCTTGTCACAACAAGAACATATATTACCTACCTTTAATAATAAATCTTAGTCTTCCACTATAAAAACTTAATATTTTTCATTTTCATATTGATAAAAACACGTGATTAATATGTCAAGAACTTAACATCTATAAAAATAATAACAGATTTTGGTGCTCTCTCTGTGAAAAAGATAATTTCACACTATTAAAACTGTATTTGAACAAAAAATCCTCTGTAAGTAAAAGTATTGTACCAAAAAAAATCAAACTTGGATTAAGAATCCTTTGTGAAAGAATAAAAACAAATCATCAAAAATAAATCTTTTTCAATCTGGATTCCACAAAATCAACTGATATTAAAATTAGAAGATTATTTCAAGAGATAGTTATTGGAATATTAACAGCAGTACAATATTCTAAAAAAGATCTCAAAGTTATTTTTGATAACTTCAAAGCATTTTATAGAGAAATAATTCACAAAAATATATTAATTATAGCAAAAGAAGCATTTGCAGAATTATTAGAAGCAAAAACTGAATTAACTAAATCAGAAGTTCAAACTATCTTACATCAAATTCAACAAGATATTAACCAATTGCATCAACAAAGAGAAGAATACTTGAGAAAGATAGAATAACAAAGAAGAATAACAGTAGAAATCTCCAGTCTAAGAAAATCATCTATTAAAAAGAACATAAAGAGTTTATTAAAACCATCAAAAATTTTAACTTGAAAGAATTCAACAAAGTGGATATCATTCCAAAATACTTTGATTGAGTAATTAAACCAACAGTCAATAATCAGCATCATCTTCCAACACTAAAAAACAAAAAGAAAGAGTACCAATAATTATTCAAACTCAAGAAATACAACAAAATTGAAAGACGAAGAAATTCAACAAGAAGAATTTTTAGAAGAAGAAAATCAAGAAGAAAATCAACCAGAAAGAAATAACGAAATGACAGATAAAATTGCTAAACAATTTAAATACTTAATTATCAGATTAAATATCTTAGTACTTGCTATAGAAAAAAATAATAAAGAAATCAAATATACAAAAATAGCTGATTTCTATGAAGATATTCAAGATCTAGTTGGATGGTTACAAGATTTTGAAAATGCATGCCAAGCTAATGCAATTAGTAATGATAGAAAAATACAAATAGTTAGAGCTTATTTGAAAAAAGCCACTGTTACTTGACTCACCAATAAAAGAACACTTGTAAATTGGTCCACATAATAGAATTCAGCTGATCAAAATACTAACAATCTACTTGCTTCATTTACACACCAATTCAAATTGTAATTTAGAACTCAAGATAGAGTTTATGAATGGCAAAGATAATTGAAAGAAAGAAAACAATTACCTGATGAAAGTATAAAACAATATGTTGTTGCTATAAAAGAACTCTTATACTGAGTAAATTCTGATAACAATTATCCAGTTCATCTACAAGTATCACAATTTATAGATGAACTTAGACCAAAAATTTATTTCTTCATTAATCAACAAGATCTGTAACTTTGGAAGATGTTATTAATATAACTTAACTTTATAATGCAAATTTTCAATAATATACTCAAATAAATACTATATCTCAATATAATATATCAATTACACCAAGTCTTATAACCATTCTATTCTTACTACAAGTACAAACTGTGAATGAAATCAACAAACTGATTGAATAGTTGGAAGAACTAAAAGTTTAATTAAAAAAAAGAAATTCCAATTTCAATAATTCTAGTAATAATCAAAGTAATTATAGAAGAAACAACAATAACAACAATACTAATAATAGTAAATGACCAATAAAATATTATAATTGTGGAAAAATTGGTCACTTCAAGAAAGATTATTAATTCAAAATAATTGATAATTCTAATAAAAATAATTATAATCAAAATAATTATAACTGAAATAATAATAATCAAAAGAATCAACAAGATAGAAGACAAAATACCTACTTGAATATTGTTGTATAATGATCTTTCGTCATAATATTTTATTATTAAATTATATGTATCTCATATCTTATTGGATAAAGATCAAATCATATAAAGTGAACAAACAAGCAAACGAATGAGTGAACGAACGAATAACTAAACGAACGAGTGAACGAATATTTAATCAATAGAATTTAAGTGATATAGTAAACATGAATACATTGTTACAAGTTCTGGGCTCAGGTAAATAATCTCGTGACGTGGATGTTCAATCAACGTCTATTTCGATATTTCAATAATTTGATCCAGTTATTTTTAGGATCGCAGCGCAGTGCAGCTTCTTCTATTCTATTAAATTAGAATAGGTAACACTACTATTAATAAATATCTCCTTTATATTTACTTAGTGTGATGATGGTTCTATAGCAATACAGTACTGATATTCTATAGCAATCTGGTTGAGTGTCCAGTAGTATGTAAAGTAAGTGTTATAACAAAATTAATAATTATAAAATTAATTAATGTACAATTTCATTAAACAATAAACAAGAAGCAGTTTATTGACTAGTTAGATTTTGTATTGATCAATTAATACCTTTTGGTTTATCCAAAAAGTTCTTTATTTATATAAAACATTTTATGATAAAAATATTACAATCATAATTAATAGTGAAGCTATTAGTAATATTATATTCAAAGCATGTTTGAACAAAATTAATTGAAAGATTCAAAAGTCAAGCAACATTAATTTAATTGAAATTAATGAAAATAAAGAATGACCACTTGGAGAAGTTATAGATCTATCAATAACTTTAGAAAATCAAAATCTAAATATTAATGCATTAGTAACTGAAAAAGAAGATTATGATCTCTTATTAGAAAATATTTGGGCTCATAATCATCAAGCAATTGTAGATTGAAAATGAAAAATTCTTACCTTTGAAATCAATAATCAAAAGAAAGAAATACCAGTATCTTGTCTTAAGTGAAGAAATATAATAGAGGAACAAAATGAAGAAACTTTATTCACTCAAAAAAATGGTATTGAAATTAAAATTTATTTTGACAAACAAAAAGGCAAAAAATCTGAAAAAGCACATAATACTGATGCTGGATTTGACCTAAGATTTCCAGAAGATAAATCATTAAAAGTGAAACCAGAAAAAATAGCTTTCATTGATAATCATATTGCAATAAAAATACCTAAAAACACTTATTGTCAACTTGTATCAAAATCATCTTTAGCAAAACAAGGTATTGAAATAAAAGGAGGAATCATCGATACTGAATATACTGAAAATACTTTACAATAATTCTAATCAAACATATATCATTCAACCAAATGAAAAGATCACTCAAGCCATATTCCTACCATTAATAAAGATCTCAAATTTAAAGATTGTTAATACTCGAGAAGAATTAGGAAAGAGGTCAACAAAGATTTGGCTCATCTGAAAGATTCAATTCAACAGACTAATGAATTTGAATATGAAATAGAAGAAGAAGAAATCTCTAATTAACCATTACTACAAATTAAAGAAGAAAGAGATGACCAAACAA